ACGACGTCAAAACAGAGGTCTTGCCACAGAGATTGAGACACCAGAAGCAGGTCAGTCTCTTTAATAGAACCCCAAGCGAGTTCTTCTTTTTTGTCCATATCATAGTCCTTCATGACACATGCACAACTGCCATCGTCTTTCTTGAGCAAGGACGTGACAATAAAAGCCGTCATAACAAGCTTAATGAAATGAAGACTTGATTTGAGTGTAACATGTTCTTTTAAAAGAGCTGTGCAACACTTTTTCAAGCAGCCATGAAGCCAGTAAACATGCTTGTTGCCTCACAAGTTTACCGCCGCAAAGTTCCTAAAATCAGTCCAGTATGAGCGGAGTTCCCAAATTTGTTGCACGTTGCAATTGCATTCTTTCTTCTCATCCCGATGAAATAGCTGGAAGCTAAACAGGGAGGAACGGCATGGCAAAACAAAATACGTCACACGCACCTCGTGACCTTGAGTATTTTTTTTTTCTTCAAATACACAGCTTTTCAGTGCAATTGCACACATACTCATGGACAAGCAGCGGCCCCGGTAACAACGAGCGCGCCATGCTCAAATCAGCCAATGGCTGTGACCAGAGCCGTATATTCCTTCTTGGCTGTGACAAGTGATTTTTGAGCTTGTAGTGTCATTTGCCGAGGGAAAAAAGCAATTTTTAGCTTTAAAAATGTATTGTGAATTACAGGCCGCGTGCTGCGCTACAATATTTGCCTCACATGTTCTCAGTAGCCTCGACTACCGATCGGCAGCTTTTTCAGACCATGTTCAGTAAATGTTGCAGGGCCCCTTTAAAATTAAAGGGGGAGCTTCGCGGCGAAGCGTATTTTTTCTAAATACATGCTTTCACGGCTTAACACCCCTACATTGCAGTGAAACCACCTTTACAGGTAGTGACATGCGGATTAATTTACATTTATATTCTAAGCATTCGAATATTCGCACAAGCCTACTTCTAAGTGAAGCTTCACGGGAGACAAGACACCTGAGCAATCAGCATGCTGAGAGGAAAAGAATACCTTGGATTAAAAACAACAACGGACAAAAAAAGGCATATTATAAAAGATAAGAACCACCCGCCACGGTGATCTAGAGATTATGGCGGTCGATCCGACCCAAATGTCGTGGGATTAAATCCCGGCCTCGGCGACCGAATTTTCAATTGAGACAAAAAAATATGCTCGAGGCTTGTGCGTTTAGACTAAGTGCCCATCGAAGAATTCTAGGAGGTTGAAATTTCCGGAGCCCTCCACTACACGGCATACCTCATAAAATATATTGTGGTTTCCGGACAACAAACACCAACAATTACTATCATTATTAAAGATAAGAACGACAGAATGAAGCTAGCCACAGCATAGAGTGATGCTATCACACTGATTAAAGGTGAATACATTTGCTGCATTCTTGATCGCCCTAATTTTGGCCTGCTTTATCCGAGTACCAGAAGCATCGCAGAGGTGAGGGCATTACAGCGGAGACAGTAATTAAGGTTCAGTGTTAAGTGTGGGCATTACAATGAATCTGTTGCACTCTGCACCCACACAGACACAGTAGCACTGTGTCAAACATAATAATAATAATTTTATCCAGGGTTTTACGTCCCAAAACCACGACATGATCATCAAAGATGCCATAGTGAAGGGTTCTTGGAATTTCGACCATCTGGTGTTCGTTATTGTGCACTGACATCGCACAGTGCACGGGCGTCTATCATTTCACCTCCTTCGAGATAGAACTACCGTGGTAAGAATAGTAACCGCGACTTTTGGGTCAGCAGCTGAGCACCCTAGGCCACTGTTCCACCGCGAAGGACACTAACCGTGTCAAAAATGCAGGTCAACCCACCTGGATTCGGACACTAAAAGATGTAACTTGGCTTTATTACATGCTGTAAAATCCAAGCAAGTGCCCCTTTTCCTTCTTCAAGAGATTTCGAATATGCAGCCTCTTCTCCCCGCCCAACATATTCACTAAAAATTACATTCATTGTTTTCATTCGCCTGCTGAGGGCAAATGAAAACAGTGAATGAATGCATATTCATTAAACTATTTTATTAGAAGCACTGGTGTGCATTCTCTATTCTCTCGTCCACTAAAAATCTGAATTTTGATCCATGACCTAGCAAGGGCCCCTTCCTCCACATCTTGCTGCCTTATCCTTCACCTTAGAGGGGGGGGGGGGGGGGGGGGCTTGCTCGGTATTAAACAATTCAAAAGCTTAGGTGCTGTGCATAAGTATTGTGACAATGCGCTCCACAGTCATAGCTAACACGTTCTGTGTTACAGGGAAATGAAGATGGTCACAAAGTATTTGTATGATGGTGGGAAAGGTTTTGATTGCCATAATTAAATGGTTTACAAGATGTACAGTGGTAATACCGGCAGGTATGGATAACTGAGCAAGATCTAGAAGACCAGGCTCTTTACACTTTGTCACTGACAGCTTTTTGATTCTTTTCTTCAATATTAATAGTCCTAAATATGCCACAAGTAAACTATACTGGCAAAATTATTAGCACCTACAAATTAAACAAGCTTCAATCTAGGTAATTATTAAATAGAGGAAAAATGCTGGCAGTCATGCGCATGCATAAAGAAGCTAGTTATTGCAATCATGAGTGGAAGTTGGTATGGATTCAAGGCAAACTTTTAATAAAGAGTATAGGCACTAAACTGCATCAATACTCACTCTCTATTCACCATGCATAGTCAAGCCATACTCTATACGTAAAATAACTGTCATTTTGTTGTCTTTAAAAACTGGAAGTTTGTTTGTGAAGGATTAATTATAGAGCTCGTGTCTAGAAGAAAATGTGGGTGCTAGTTAGGACTGCTCAAGATACAGCCAAGAGGGATGGGTGAGTACAGAGGCGAGGCAGAGGTCAGGTGCCCCTACCACCCCTTGTAAATACACCTCTGATATAAAGCATATGAACACGTCCCATGCTTGGATATAGCAAAGCACATGGAAGGGGGGGGGGGGAAATAGCAAAGGAACTGCACCAGATATAGCAAACCATCTTCCAAGTTCTGGACCCATTTCAGGTAGTTGCAAAACAGACCCATGATGCTCTCTAAGGCATAAAAACTCTCACAATAATTGTCTTTGGCACATAAGCTACCCCGATTAGCATTCCTTTGTGAAGGCTTTACTGACTTAGCTTTTGCGAAGGATTAGAAAAGTGGAAGAGAATAATTATTAGAGTCGTGCACTGCCTTCTGTATGACCCAATGTAAGTGCAGCACAGACACTTTTATGTTTTTATGAGAAAACTTTGTGTTAAATGCTCAGGAAACAGTCCAAATTCACTGTACGTTGAAGGAGTACTGGCATAATATTTTGAAGGTGAGATATTCAGTAGGATACATTACTAAGAGCACACTTGGTCACCTACAAAATATCTATGGATAATATAGTCTACAACATATTGCTACGATACTGAGGGGACGCGTGGAAGAAGAGGCGAACGAGGTTGGCACAAGCGGTGATCGAGAACGAGAGTTTCACGGCTGCCAAAGTGACACTTCTTAGAGTTCAGGGTGAGCTTAGCTCTCTCAAGACAGGTGAGAACAATGTCTAGACGATGGTTGTGTTCATCGAATGTACGGCCAAAAATTATAATGTCATCCAGGTAGCAAAGACAAACTTCCCACTTTAGTCCACGTAACACAGAGTCCATGAAGCGCTCAATTGTGGATGGAGCGTTGCATAGGCCAAACGGCATTACATAGAATTCAAATAGACCATCTGGGGTTATGCAGGCCGTTTTCTCTTTGTCATTCGGGTGCATGGGGATTTGCCAATAACCAGATCTCAAATCCACGGAGGAGAAGTATGATGCCGAATGTAAACAATCGATGACATCACTAATCCTGGGAAGCGGGTAGACATCCTTTTTAGCAACAGAGTTGAGCCGTCTGTAATCCACGCAGAATCGCCATGTACCATCCTTCTTTCGGACAAGAATCACCGGAGCAGCCCAAGGGCTACACGACTCTTGGATGACCCTTTTCTTTAACATGTCTTCTACCTGTTGAGCAATGACCTTACACTCCGCAGATGAGATACGGTATGGTTTCTGCCGTATAGGGTGAGCGGATCCTGTGTAAATCCCATGGCGAGTACGCGACTCGGGTACACTTATTTGCTCTTTATTCTGCACAAAGTCAAATATAATAGCGTGCTTCGCAAGAACTTCGACCAAAGCTTGACGTTTTTCTGATGAAAGCGACTTGTTTACCGTACTCAGAAAGTTGGCTTCTGTATTGTACGTTGCACGAATAGGATCTACGCTCTCGTCGCTTAAAAATGCAATAAAACTGGTCGCATTTTGTTCGAAGAGGGCATATAGTCTGCAACATATAATAAAATCAATTTTAAAGAGCTTATCACACAACTTCGCACGAAATGCCTCACCTCACGACAGTGACATGAACTTGTTTTGTATGTAAACAACTAAAAACAACCAGCATCAGGACTTCGTGTTGGCTGCCATGTTCTTTGTTGGCACTTTTTCCTAGCCGACTATTTCAATGAAAAGAGATACAGTCGGCCGCATGGAAGTACACAGGCTAAAGTAATTATTGCCTCTAGAGAGCATTTTCGAGGGTTGCAAACATTTACGGCATCATAGGGGGAATAATGGCAGCACTCCGGGAAGCCTTCATGGCAAACATTTGTCAGTGCAGTGCTCAAGTGCACACGGTTTTGTTCACACAGTCAGCTAAGCTTACATATAAATTCCACTATATCAGGACTCTCTCAGTGCTTTTTGAAACTAAAACTGCAATGAGGTGCTATAAAAATGCCTCCAAATGATTAATCACACCTCGTGAGGACAAGTGAGTCTTTAGCTTGTTTTTGTAACAACAACAACAAAAAAAAAAGATGAAAAAATTTTTGTGTCAGTACTCCTTAAAGCACGTGCTGATTTAAGTGCTCCAAATGGTACGGTAAATAAGTTAATGCAAATAACGCACCGGCTGTATTACTGAACCTACCGTCTACTTTCAACTTCATGCCGCCAAACACATTGGGCCCGACGAACTGCTTCTTCAGCTGGCCATCACGGTACACAAATATGGTCGGCAGGTTCTGGTCTGGGTAGTTTGGGATGCAGTTGGACGACACACTCCTTAGGAACTTGGTAGTCCTGAACTTTGGTGCCAGTTGGTTGAGATGCTGATTAATCAGGGTGCAGTATGGAATGCTGCAAATAAAAAAAAAAAGAGAGAGACCAGTGAGGCCAGACCCAATTAACGACAAAGGCAAGCATCGATGATCCCTGCACTTTTTGCAAAAGCGATGTCCCAGCTCCGAAATATATTGTAGTGACTTTAGCGCACACTTTCATATTCTTTAGCTGTACTGTTGTTCAACCACTGATTATTAATGACGACTGCAAGTCAAAGGACTCTCAAGATGGTGTGAAACTCACCCCATGTTGCATGAGTAATATCATCCAACTTCTGAACTTTTTACTTTCATGAACTGTTCATTACATCACCCCACTTAACTCCCTGCCCCACCATAACTGCATTCACTCCATGGTACGAGTTACTTTGTTCTGACTGACCATCTGTTAGTTATGGGTCATTCCACACCAACTATCTATATCGGTGCACCCACCGAAAATCAATTTGTACAAAAAATTGCAAGAAAATTACACACATATAGACATTAGTTCCACTGTACTTTACCAAACTATTTTGAACGGCAACGGTTTTTGTGCTTGTTAACACCATTTGAAATTCACGAAATGCAAGAAAACCAGGCACGAGAAGGAAATTTTCTATAAATTGATTCTTTTGCATATTCTTTTAACACTTACTTTTTTGCTTTTGTCCTATTGCAGAACAGTTTCTTACGGTAGCTTTATATTTTTCACTGTTTAGCGCATAGGTAAAATTTAGTAAATTGTAGCATTTTCGTGAATTTTTCGACAATATTGATTATAAATAAAAAGCATAAACAATTTCTATCAAACTCTCCATTAATTGTGTACTATTTCCCTTTGTTTATTTTTTTTTCACTAGTGCACAGCACATCCCCTCAATAACAAAGTGGTAAACTTGGCAAAAGGCCATTTCAGTCTACGTTGAGATGTCCGTAGCCTACTAAGGTGGTCCAAGAAAAATCCGGGGAAAAAGTTCATACGATTGAGAATCATAGCAACATTATTCACAGGAAGTTTCACCAACGTCACCTTTGTTGTAGTCCAGAAAAAAAAAAGTGAAGCTTAGTCCCACACTGCATTATTCTATGGTGGCAATGCAAACCGACGGGCTTTGCTGGATAAAAAAAAAAAAAAAAGAGTGATAGTGTAGCCGCAGCACACGGGCTTATGTTATTTTTGTGATTACTTTATTTTGTATACTACATATCAAGGAAATTAATCAGTGGTAAAACTCACCAATGCTTAGAAGCTAGGTATGCCCATCACGAATATTCTGCTATAATTATTTTTCAAATCCTTAAGATATTAGCACAATTGAGGGTTGTTATCACACAGGTGCAAGGCTGTATCACTCCTTCTGTATCCAGCACACTGAAATATGCAGCGAAGAACTCATCATAATGCCCCCTGGCAGCTGAGGTATCCAAGATAGACAACAGATAGAGAACAGCCTTTCTGAGACCATTCAGCTAGCCTTTCTGAGAACATTCTGATAAGCTGTCGGTATGGTCTCCCCACTCTCTATGTTGCTGCTAACATATTTGCAAGCAGCAGAGCAAGCAATATTTTACCCACTGCATAGAATGCTATAATACTTGCTCACATGTTTTCATAAGCTTCACCTAAAGATTGGTAATGTTTTCTTGATGTGCTTATGGAGAATTATCAAGTAGGTTCCTTAAAGGAACACTAAAAAAGAGAAAAATGACCATGTTTACGTTGAATTACCCTTCCAATAAACTAGGAACAATGATCTCGGCATGAAAGAGTAGCTCGGTAGGCGAGGTAGAATAAAAAAGTGAAGTAGCGGCACGGCTACACACAAGTTTCCCATGATGTTATGAACTTAAAGGGCCTCTGCTAGAGAATATCTAACTATAGGCTACGTCATGTTCTGAATAAGTGAAGAACTGAACACGAAAACTTTTTTGCAACCTTCACCGAGCCGACACAGCCCAAATACAAACTGTAAATATAAATCCAGGGGCTTCGGGTGCAAACTTACAAAAAAAAAGTATGACCAGTGACCTTTATTTTTTTTTTCTTTGATAACCGACTTTTAATTCAATTGATTATAATGGTGTTTTTCAAAAGCACATTACAATAAACTTGCTTCATTTTTCTCTTAAGTCCGCCTCAGTGCTCTGTTATCATGCTCGGCCGCTGACCCAAAGGTCGCAATGGTCACATTTTGGTGCAGGCAAAATGGTAGAGGCCCATGTGCTGAGCGATGTCGGTAAAAAACGCCAGATGGATGAAATTTCCAGAGCTTTCCACAACAGCGTGCCCTATAATCATGTGGCATGTAAAAACCTAGATAATAATGTTTTTCTTAAGTGCCCCTTTCTACATCGGTTGAACTCATTGATATACAGCAGACTCCCAGCGAACTGAAATCTTAAACGAAACTGCTGCTTAAATGGGACAACAGCTTCCAGCATGACTGGTCGCATACGTTACTTGGGTTCTCCACCCATGTTCGTCTCTCAGTAAATGAAACATCTGTTAACCCAAACACAATTTCTTTGTCTCTTCCGGTTCCATTTGCCGAGAGTCTACTGTAATTAAGAATGCAATAGCTGGATGAATGTGTTGCCTTATGTGCTAGCCCGCTCTCTAGAAATCGCTATGGTGCATAATCATTACAATGAAGGGACCAGTGTGACTAACTATTTGAAAGATACCAGATGCCTCACTATAAGGCAATTTCACTGTATGGTATGTGAAAAGCGCTCACCCAGGTTTGTAGAGATGGAGGACGACCCAAACTCCATCACCGGCTTTGTTCACCTGCTCCACGTAGTCATCTGCAGAGATGTCCCGCACATCCCCGTACCTAGATTTTTGCATCGTAGCCTGTATCTCGGCAATACGCTTCTGCCTAGAAGAAAGAAAATGAAACATAAATTCCTCGTGAACAATCATGTGCAATTTACTTAAGAGAGCCTTGTGTGGAACTATATAATGACCTCAATAAGAAAATGCCTGACTTTCATTACAGAACTACTTCAGGGGATCTATAATAGACAGATACTAATATGGCATTGTGAGGAAGAGCTCTCCAGACGCAAACAACTACTGCACCTACTGTGCAGCTATTCTCAAGACAATGTAGCTATTCTATATATTATATATATATTATATTATATATTATACAATGTAGCTATTCTCAAGAATGCTAGGTTTTCACATGTTAAAGGGGACCTACAACACTCTTACAAGTAATCATCACACTATTTCAATAGCCTCCCCAAATGACTGCTGTACTGCTGCAACAATTTTTACAGTCCTTCAAGTACAAGTAGAGATACGGGGATTTGTCGCACACTTTGAGCATTTTCCCTATTCTCTCGTTCCAACGAGAACTCTGAAAGCTATGCAGCGGAAACGGGGGAGGAGATGTTAAGTGGGCAAAAAGCTATGTCCGTTCGTCATTGTGTAATGACCTTGAGGCTTTTTCTTTTCATTTTGGTTTTGAGACGTTAAACCCCACATATCAATCAATATTTTTCTTTTCATTTTCTTACCTTGCTTTCAGTGTGTGTGAATTCAATTGACTTTCAGTGCAATTGCAAGCATGTTTGTGTAATACTGTTCGCCATGGAGTGGCAATATCACTCATAGGATGCCAGGGTACGTAGTCTGCTTGAACAGCACATTTCCTGCTGTTCTCCCAACCCGCGTTTTCCACGTTTTCGTTGTGTGCACCACAGCATGTGCTTCCCCCTTGTTGTAAAGTGTATATCTCAAAGAAGGGGCATGACCTGACAACCCGAGCACGCAAACCACGAGTCGGTGCCCTTGATGGCACCCACGGGTAGCGTGGTACAATATAAGTGATTCTAAGAGAGGGAAAAGAGAAAAGTGAAGCCCACAACTGTCTGCATCATGGTGCAACACCTCAACATTAGCTCACAAAAGATGGGGGCGATGAGGGATTAAAAGGATAGGAATAAAGGTGTAGAGAAAGAGAGATGCGCTAAGCCAGCGAGCGAGGACATATCGAGGGGATAGGAGAGATAGGAAAGATGGAAACAAGGTCACAGGAGTTCGAGGATGGGGCACCACTTGGGAGAGCTCTTGTCGGCATCAGGAGATAACGTAGGACAAGTCCAGTCGGTCAGAGCTGCGCTGTCATCGGAGATCGGCGTTAGGAGATGACGTAAGACCAGCCTAGTCGGCCAGAGCTACACTGACGTCGGACCTAAAGCTGGTGCAACCTATAGTACAGAGGACGATGCCAGTGATGTCAATAAAGCTAAGCTGCAAATACATAGCTAAGAGGAGATGCGACTCGGAAAAAAAGTTGCACTAATCTGTAGCCTAGGACAACGAAATTTTTACTGCACATATATTAACTTTTATGCTGATTTCAAATATGTAATTAGTTCAATAGTGAGTTACGCAGTTATAATTTTATGCCATGACGCTGTGTAATATATAAGTGATTTTGGACAAACTTTTTATGCAACTAAACATTTATGGCCGTGAACCTTTATTGGTTCATATTGCTCTAGATCAACTGTAGAATGCAAATAACTATCAAGAAAGTGAATATAAGATATTTTAATGGACAGGAGATATTCCATTGTGAAAATGCTTAGAATCATCAGCCCATCATAATTGTTCATTTTATACTTGCAATAATTACACTGGTGGTATCACATTTTAAAAGAGATACTTGGACCCTTCACATGTACAGAAATACGTGGGCAAAATTTCTTAACTCAGAAAGTTTCCCAAAAATGAATCTTGAGAAAGGGCATTTTAAAGGTATAAGTGAAATGCTATATATGCAAAAAAAAAAGATATGTTTTTCATGATAATTTCTGTCATAATAATAGCTCAGTAATCATACTTATTTTGAGCATGTGGCTTCAGTGAACTCCTCATGTGAAATGCAATGGCAAATAGCCAGGTGACTATTCCTAGGGCACTTCATAAAATAAACTCCTTTTAGTTTTTAGTAGCCACCTTGAGCTCTTCTGAAGCAATTTTAACCTACTTCGAGTTTATTTGCAATGTTCAATTTTTTTGTCATGAAAGTAGAGAAAGTATACTTGTCAAAGCAAATAAAAACCAAAAATATGATTTTTGGAGAAAATTTGTGTTTTTAGACTCGCATATCCTTTAAATACTTTCACCACAAGAATTTTCAGACTGCATAAAACAAACTAGTGAACTTGCACCAACATAGCGAATGTATTGCTGAACCCCCTGCATGTGCGGTGCAAATACACAGGTGTCAACGAACACGTGGGTATGGTGAGCAGAATGAATTGCGACGCCTGATAAGTGCTAATGGAATCTCCTAAAGAAAGGGTGGATTTCCCCTCCACTGCTCATCCTCGTAGTGCTCCATTCTGATTGACAATCGTCCCCATTTCGTTTTCTTTTTTGCTACTAATAAATTTACTTTTCCCTTTGGCTTACTATTGCTGGCAACGTATCGATGTTGGTTTTCGGTGCCTTCGATAAGATCGTAAACATAGCAAAATGATCATTTCGTAGGAACCTCACTCTGAGAGATAGTTGAAATACAGATGCTCTTCTTTTTACTTAACTTGTTAATTTACAGTGAGTGTCGTTTTCTATCATTTGTAAATTCATTTACAAATGCACGCGAAGAGCTGCCACGAGCCTTCGTGAGCACACATCAGGTGCTACCGAACATCTTAGCTGTGGCGGAATAGACAAAATCCTCATCATGAAAGCGCTCTCTGTGCACCTGCGAGTTAGCGTTGGTGTCTTTTCCATTTGGGCTTTACCAGCTAGGTGACGCCCATTTCTTTGCATTTGGAGTAATGATGAAAACTTACAGCAGGATCTGTCGCATACGTCTGGCACTGATGCATTGAACAATACACCAACAAGCTGGAACCGACTGCAGTCCGCTGCGCGTAGTGTAGCAGTTACAGTACTCGGTTGCTGACACGAAGGTCGCAGCTTCGGCCCAGGCTGTGGTGGTCGCATTTCGATGGAGCCAAAATGCCAGCGACCAGTGTGCCGTGATATGCCAGTGCATGTTAAAGAACGCCACATGGTCAAAATTTTAGGAGCTCTTCACTACGGCGCCCCTCAATCATTTCATGGTTTTCGGAAGTAACACCTTAGATATTATATTATTAAAATGAGAAGCAGGTTGCATGTAAACTAACACTGCTTATGTGGCGGTAATAATTCCATCTGGCCCAGTTAAGCTTCACGTGCTGAGCACTGAATGCCACGCACCCTGATTATACCCGAACGTTGCATTCCACAACTATGCTTACAAGGCGAGCAGGAGCATCCTATATGTGACGTCTAAACGGTCGCAGCGTCGGCCTCTCTAGTGAAGGCCGTCTTGGCCAGTACTGTGCGCAATTACATCTCTATAGAGAACAGCGGGGCCATGTGATGTTACGCCTCAGTCACCAAGGTAAATATGCCGCAAATGACACTCAAATTAGTCAATGGCGAGGGACTTTGTGTTCATGTACGTGATCATCCTGGATTATGACACTCATTTGTCAGAAGAAGAGCAAGTGATTCCTAGCTGACTTTGAATATTCCTTGCAAATTCCAGGCTATGTGCTGGGCTATAATGTATGGCTGACATGTTATCAGGAGCATCGACTACTACTGGTAGCATTTTCTGACCATGCTGAATAAGTGTTGCACGAACTCCCTAAGAAAGTGAATCACTGTCACATAAACAGTGAGTCAATATGACGTGTCTAACTAGAAATAAAACAAAGTAACATTGTAAAACAGAGTAAGCATATATGTAGCCGTGCAGTTCAATGGCAAATCCGAAATTCAGTCCAACATTATGGCAATTCACATGCGTGGCAATGGTGATCTTATTGGCAAAATATATTTTAAGCTTAGTGCTCACTCAACACTCGAACTCACCAAAACTGTCTTCAGTCAGACTCAGATTCACAAGAATTTTTATCTGACTGGACTCACTCGGACTCAATCTTACCGAACTATTACTCCCTCAGACTCGGACTCACGGCTCGACCAGAGCCCGAGTCTGATGTGAATCAACTCATGAATCTGTTAGCATTTATTTAGATTTTAGCTTTTAGACCATTTTGTTAATGCTCTTTAACACTAATATCTTGCATATTCGGCGCTCTACTTGGGGCCTTTTAATATTATAGTTTAAAATTTGAGTTATCAGCAGCAGCTGCAATCCAACAAAGACATTTTGATTGAAAGCAATGATTCACAATAGGTCTGTAGCCAGGAAATTTTTTGTTGAGGGGGGGTGCACTTGTTGGAGGTTTTTAAGAAACACTATCATTATTTATTCTCTACAAAACGTCCTCCCCCCTCTATCCGAATTTCGAAAAGTGGGGGGCCCAAGCCTCTAGTGCAACCACAGCGTCTTTTTATCAACTTCCTGTAAAATAGTTAGCCTTATCTGTAATACACATCTCTGGTCAATAGATATAGAGCTTACATATCAGCCCCTGTGCGTTTAGGTATGAGATAGCAGCCGTTAGTACAAACGTGCTAATACTGCCACTGAGGTTGAGTAGACAAGCCTTAGCTCAGCAAAAAAGAAAAAATGTGGAGCTAACTCAGACTCACTAACAAAATACTATAAGCTGTGCTTAGGACACACTTGGACTTAGATTCGCAGAAATTTTTTTCAACAAGGCTCGCTCGGACTCAAACTCATCAAAGCATTATTCACGGGGGCTCATTCAGACTCAGACCTCTAATTGAGTCCAAGTGAGTCAACTCATGAGTCAGGCCCCTATAACACGTGGCAACTTGAGTGCACTTCGAGCGAGTGTACTTAGTACTTACGCTCTCTATGTGTCACTTAGGCGATGCACTGCTACACGAGGAAGCGAAGCGTATTTTGAAAATGATGGTGGTGGCAAC